TGTAAAAAATAATTTTTGGACGGACACTATAATTTACAGTTTTTTACTATGTAAAATCTGAATTTTCTTTAAAATAAAAAACATTTATATTGATTCTGACACTTCTACATCCAACTCACAGATGTAACCTTGCTTTGATAAAAGAAATTATTCATATAACCCTTTTAGAAGTTAAGTTGTAGTCATTTGTTTTGGGCATGTCATTTTCGAGCCTGAAACATGAAAAACAGGCTCGGTGCTTAACAGACTGGGGAACTGAGGGTGATATTGAGCCTCTCCGGGTTTCAACAGCAGTTTTAGTGATGCATTCCTTTTTCCTGCATGTTGAATCTCAAGGAGTTCGCTCTCCACAGGTGTGTTTTGCAAAAGGTGTGCAAATGGTCAGCAGCGCTTTATACAGAGCCACATTCTGTTTCCATGGCATTTACGTACGGGCATGAGTCATGACCATTTGTTGAATACAGTATATTCTTTCAGTTTAATTAGAGGCTAGTATTATTATTATTTTTCTTTTTATGTATGTGCAGCTGTTTCTTTTCCTTTTAATATAGTACAGCAGCATATATCCGTGTTTTATTTGTCTCTCATTAGGATAACTTGCTCCTTTTTGTGTATTTCTGCCGCTTCCCTTAATTGTGTAAGCAAGTCAAATCTAAAATAATCTCAGCTTCTATGTGGTTGCTTTTTTTTTTAAATTCTGAATATTTAACCGTACCCAACCAGTCTCTGCAATAATACACATCTGAAGTTGAAATTGAACAGATGATGTCAATTAAATAACGTTTTCTTCTATGTCATGATATGCTGTGATCCTAGATATAATCAGATCTTTTAGAAATTATAATGTCTCTTCTTCCTTTACCTGATGTGTCTAAGACGATGAAAGCATGGTCATTAGAGGAATTCTTGAATGGTAGGCTAAAGGCTCAAAGTCACTAGCATGTAGTAACTGCATGTGCTGTTGGACATGCAGTTTTTAAATGGGTAAACGTGTCATTAGGCAAAGTGATTCATACTGCCAACAACTCTGTCCGGATTTTAATAATTTAAAGGACCCATGTCATGGCCATTTCCACTGATCATAATTCCATTGTTGAGGTATACTAAAATACATTTATACTGTGCAATTTTCCAAACTCACATTGGTTTCGCATACAGCATCTCTGTAAAGTATGTGTATTCAGCAGTATTCACTCTCTCCACTAAACGGCTCGTTGGAGCTCTTGCCCCCCCCTCCCTGTGAGCCTAGTGTGCTCCGATTGGTCAGCTCGGCCACTCTGTTCTGATTAGTTAACCACCAGAGAGGCTCCGCCCATGTCTAACAGTGCTTTTTTCGGCTCGCTCTCAGCGGAACAACAGTCTTATAATGGCCTCGGTGCAGCCGTATATTTTATACGCTAACTAACCGAACTGTACCTACAACTGTTGTTATAGAAGAGTAAGTTATTTTTACCTGTAATAAACTACTACTGTTTGATGAGAAATCAAATCATGGTTTGCTATATATGAATGATATGTTATAGGAGCAAATCATTCAGGGAAGAAAGGATAGGCCTAAGTATTTCCATCAAACTTTATTTTTAGAAATGTACAAAATGAACATGCGTAAATATACATATATACACTGTATATCATCCATTCCTCCCCTTATAGGCGTTTTCGGCATCTTGCCTATCGCAGCTTTGTAAGCAGCTGCCGGGGCTTTTTAGGACGAGCCATCAGAGTGGGTCATCCCGTGTGTGTGTTGTCCGCCAGATACACCAGGAGTTTCCTGATCTGGCTGGACGAAATCAAATGCAAATCACAAAATATTAGAGAAACTTAGTTGTTTTAGATTCGTTAGTAGTAGTTGTGGTAGGAGTGGTAGGAGTGTGGATCTATCTAATCCATCTATCTAATCAACACAGTAAGCTTGCCAGCTAATATGCTAACCTAGCTTTCTTGTTTACCTTGGTAGCAAACACGATATGAACGGTAGCTTCGGAGGAACGGCAACTATAATGTAGTGTAATAAAACTACTATGAACAAAAGCTAGTGGTTCATATTAGGCTAGCAATAACGTGTTTATAATTGCAATCTTATACGGGTAGTCTGCTACGTTTCGGTCATTCATTGTAACTGGCATGAATACATTGTTTTCCACTAGCATGTATAGCTAGCCTCGTTAGCTATACATGCAGTATGTACATGTACTGTCACAATGTACGGTAAATCACCCGGAGTATACTGTATGAGTATTCCGTGTGTGACTGCAGACATTCTCCTGCCATGACAAACATGTAAGGCCATCTGCTGACATTGTAGTTGATATATTTAAACGCTAGCAACGTCGTTAACCCAGTAAGCACTGTGTCAATGGCTTGTTTAGTGTAATAAAACCACTATGAACAAAAGCTAGTGATTCATATTAGGCTAGCAAGAACGTGTTTACAATTGCAATCTTATACGGGTAGTCTGCTACATTCATTGTAGCTGGCATAACAAAAATGTTTTCCCGAGCAAACCCATGTCTAGCTCCGTTGGTTAGCTCGGTAGCATACACGCTACGCCAGCTATAATGTAATTACGTTTCGCGACTGACCGTACGGTAAATCACCCGGAGTATACTGTCTGAGTATTTCGTGTGTGAATGCAGACATTCTCCTGCTATGAGATACATGTATGCAAGGCCATCTGCTGATATTAGAGTTGATATATGGAAACGCTAGCAACTTAGTTAGCACTGTGTCAATGGCTTAGCAGTCCGACACAGTTTACACATTTAAACAGTCTTGTTTGATAAATACACAAATAACAATGCAAACTTACAGGTTGTGTACCCGAATCTTCCCCTGCTCCAAACGGTCCAAACAAACTAGGAATAGCATCGTCCTTCAATTTCAAATGCTGTGCATATCCGGCCTCAAACTGGGCAATGTTTTGGAAGCTTTCGTCTGTGAAATGCCGCGCACACAGTAACGTTCTTCGAACCTCTGAAGGAACAGTGTTAAAAAGACATTTCAACCACTGACTTCGTGGTGGTTCTTCCGTCGGTAGGACAAACAGCTCAGATTTCTCCTCACATTTCAGGAAACAGGTCCTTGGCAGTGGCATGACTGGATCGATTGTGAACTGAACCAGAGCTTCCAACAGTAAATGTTAGGCTGGCAGAGGGTGCGGCCAGCGCCGCTGGGTGTGGCCATAGCTCTTCCGGATTGGTCCATTTTGTTCCGGGTACCGCATGACATCATCAGGGTTGCCAACTTTGGGTACCTGGCTGGAGTGAGATTTTGATATCATGGGTTTAATTCGGTTTAATTACACATATGCGCACGAAATGACTGCTATCGTGTCAGCAGCGGGACCTTAGCATATATATAGGATATATATACAATATATACAAATACACAATAATGGACACAGGCACACAGTTTCATTCACTAATGAAAGTCAAACATGTTTGTTTCCACTGTTTTATTGTGTGCCTGTCGCGATAAGCAATTAATTGACTTATCGTACGATAAATAAAAATGAACTCGATAACTTTTCTGACCTCGATAAATTGCCATTTACATGAGGATGTGACTAGCAGTTTGAAAGGATGTACTTGAACTATTATTATATATTATCATTATGTCAGTGGTCTAAAATGGTCATACAACGGTGCCGAGAATATTATCGTTTATCGCAATCATTTCCGGGAAAATGTATCCAACAAAATTAATTATCGTGAGAGGCCTATGAAACACACACACAAACAAATCTACAGACTTACTCCAAACTGCCAAATATATTAATTAACACACTCTCACTCTCATATACTCTTTGACTCTATTTTGGCCTAGTAGAACAATAAGCAGCAGACTTTTACTTTTTTATCATTTCTACTGGATCTGCGCATGCGCTCCAGAGTATTTTTTGTTGGGTAATCTATGGTAGGGCTAACCCATACAGTGGTGGGGCTCAAGTCAGTATTTGCAATGTAATTACATACACGCTCCCCCCGACAGTGAAACGCCAAGCGTGAGGTTTAGATTATTTCCCTGTCTCAATCCAAATTGAACTGTATGAAATAAAAAGGCACATTTGTCTTGTAGTAAATAAAAAGGGCGACCTGGAGCCAATCCTGCAATTTCCCCACAGGTGAAAGAGTAGACATGCTGAAAACCCAACCTCTGCAGGGGGGTCTGGGGGGATTCTCCCCCAGGAGATTTTTTTAAATACTAACATAAAATACACATTCTGGTACTCTAAAATAAATAAATCTATTACTACACGACATATTTAAAAAAATGAATGCCATTTTAGTTTTTTGTTACTTTGTTCTGAAAGCTGAACCTGCTGCTCCTCACAGAGAGAAGAGGGAAGAGGCTGTGTGAATTACTTTACATTGTGGATAAGGGTGGATAGCCCCCATTGTTCTGTGTGTCAAAATGAAAGACAGCCCACACACACCTATCAATCATCAAACCGTGGGGTCTTATTTCATTACGTGTTGATTTCTATCAACACGTAATGTTGTATCGATGTATAGAGATGTACTACCGCAAAAGTATTCTCCGTCGGGACTTCCTGCAACAACACCACGCCGTTATCGTGATTCTGATTGGCCAGAAGACATTATCAAAGATGTTCTATTGAAGACGATCACTACGTGACAAAAGTTTTCAAAACCGTTTCTAGTCTTCGTATTCTTGTTTTTGGCGTGAGAATAGTTTGGGCAGCGTGAGAGCGTGAGATTGAGAGTGAAAGCGTGTGTCACACGCCAGATGCGTGAGAGTTGGCAACCCTGCATCATGCGGTACCCGGAAGAATCAAATGGACAGTGACGTATCTCCAACGAGGCGTTTTGGGGAGGTATTTTCTGTGTTAGAGTTTTACTCGCTACAGGGTGTACTTTGAGGGTTTTGACTCTGCACACCGTTTACATGCATAAAAACCTTCATAACACACAAGGGGACGGGTAATAACCGGAAAAGCATGACATGGGCCCTTTAAATAAATCCGATTTTCTGTTCAGGTTTCAGGATGAATGCTTCCTCATGGCCCATGTTCCTCCTGCGGACGCTGAGTGGAGCAGAGATGGCCCCTGCCTCTGCTTTTAAAAAGGTAAAGGCAACTGGTAGACGCTACTGAAGCCCCATAGCTGCCAAAAATGAATTGACACATCTGATGTCAATTTATTCTTGGTTTCATTAAAAAAGTAATACAGCATTTCATTTTAAATAGGGACTCACTTTCAAGGTGTCAGCGTTTAAATGAATGTAACATTTGACCAAAAATATACTGTACAATATTTAAATGTAACTATTTGAAGTAAAGATGTGGATTTCTTTTCTCTATAATTGGGGTTATTAATAGAAGAATACATTTTGAGTTCACATTATAAAATGTGTAGTTTCATTTTTTTTTTTAATATTGCAGTAATGAGCACAGTTGGTGGGGCACTCATTACACTGGATTAGGCACAGCGGCATATATTATTACAGCAAAGTGGAGACAATTGTGATTTATTTTAATGAAACACAGTTAAAATGTTGTTTCTTAATAAATAAGCATGTTCAAATACTTTCAGGATAGAAACGGAGATAATCGGATTGTACAGTATTAATGTGTTTGTTTATGTGTATGTGTGTGTGTCATTAGGAACCAGCCACAGCAGTTAAAAACTACTTCCAGCCTGGCATGAAGCTGGAGGCGGTAGACAGGAAGAACCCCTACCTGATTTGTCCCGCCACAGTTGGAGAGGTCAGAGGTCTGGAGATTTTCATCATGTTCGACGGCTGGCGAGGCGCCTTTGATTACTGGTGCCCCTTTGACTCCAGAGACGTCTTCCCTGTCGGCTGGTGTGCCCTGACGAAACACAGTTTACAGCCGCCCGGAAATTTCTGTAAGTAATACTTATTGATATATACTGATATTTATTTTGTATCGATTGTCATGTAACGTGTAGAGTGTAAAAATTGTGATTTAATGCTATTTTCTGTGAGTAACAATAGATGATATAGCTTGTGCTGATGCCACTGGTTTCCACTAAACAATATGTCACATTTGTATATTACCACTCATGATAATGCATACATTTTCATACAAATTATAATACAAATTAATGTTTCCAGCTATGATTCCATGATTGTTTTAAGATCTTAATTTAGACCATTATTCATGCCAATAGTTGGATAGTTTAGTGCACAGACTTACTTGGTTGTTCTTGTTTTAAGGGGAAAGGGGTATTTTATCTCAGATCTTCAAACTACATTATTCAATTGCCCCCACTAGAGAGCAGCAGAGCACAAACTCTGATGCCTCTGCTTCATCATTACAGGCTGAGAGCTGAGTTGGGCAAATTCTGTGACTGACAGCTCAGCGTATTTGTAGAGTTTTCTTTAAAGGGTTTTTTGTTTGGTGCTCTTTCTTCTTAATCATTCCCGATACTGGGTGTCATATTTCCCGGGCGCAGACTTGAGCCATTATAAAGACAGAGAGGCCTTGTTCAGAGCTTATTCAGTCTGTCTTGCTGTCGCTGAGACTTTACATGACAAAGTGCAAGCATTTGAGTAGATCTTTGGCAAACTGTGACCTCTTGTCGAAGAAGTACTCATTGAGCTTCATAATAATTGATGTTATATTGTCGGATTATTCATTTTGATGCAGTTGATGTTCTGCAAAACACAAGGGAGGCCTATTGTGGCAGACACAAGCAACATGACAAGCAGGAACGATAGCTAATAATGCTATAAAAAAAAAATATACAAGTGAAAGATATGTTGCTTATTTTCTTAATCTCATGGAAAGAAAAATGTTTTTTGTAAATGTCACAGATTTAATTTGGGGTAGATGAATTGCTTAGTACTTATTCAAGGTAATTATGTGGTATCATGAACTAATGGCTTAATGGGCAGTGTAATTACCTTGCTAAATGTTGGTTCCTTTATTCTTGTAATGAGATAAACTCTTTTAGTGACATCCTATAGATAATTATGTGAGTGTGTATGAAGGCGTAATTTAGAAGGTTAACAATTAACTGAAGTCTACAATTGCTAGACCCTTGAGTGTGTGTTATTGTTCAGAAAGGCACACATGTTCACCCTATCAAGTTAATTTAAAATGTAGAAGAACTTATAAATAACAACATCTGTTCTAATTGTTGAAGTTGGACTTTTATTTGTGAATCTCCTCTGTGTTTTTTCCTTCTGCTCTGTGTTGAGCTGGTTGTTTTTGTTGTAGAGGTTGTGACCCGCAGCTCTGACCTCCACATTTAGTCTGCCAAGTTCCCTAAAGATTCAGCGGGTTTGCTTGAAAAGATCCCACTCATATATTAATCCAGTGCTTTACATAACCAGAGGCTGTTTTTTTAAAAATGTGTGATTTATTGGTCTGCTTTTGGCTCCATTTTGCGCATTGAAAGATGTGGCAAAAAAGCTTGGCAGTCAGAGCAAAAATAACAAACACTGACTTACTCTGAGAGACACAGACTTTGTCATGTATGCCCAGAAATGTTTGTTCATAATCCTTTGAATAGTGTTCCATTGTTTGCACTTGTCATCTAATTTGACTGCCTCGTATTATATCTACTGTTTTGTTTCTGAGAAATGTAAAATGGCAGATTCTTCTGAGGCCCCTTCAGATAACAAGAACATTAAACCACATTCTTCTGTGTGTTTTTATATACCCCTAATTTTCCCATGGACCCCATGTGGACTCCTGAATGTCACTTAGAAAAAACATTCCCTGTATGTTCTGCACAAATTAGAGCTTCAATTGATATTATTAAAGAGTGAACGCAGCACTTAACTACAATTATTAATCAGGATGTAATTATATGTTAATTAGACACAGCAGTTACAGGAGCATGTCACATATGATGTGCGCTAATGCTGAAGCTTAATGTTGAAGGTTTATCCATTTAGTTTCTTTGGCTGATATTTAGACATTTCTCATCCATCAAAATGACTTTGACCAATGACTCTGGAGTGGATATGTTGATTTGGAAAATTTGAAGAAATGTAGCAGATGCTGCAAATATCAATCATCCTCATGCTTGCTGTTAGATACATTAGCTCCCATCCAGCAATTTCCTCCCATTGACCCTGTTGTTGGTGCCCGCTGGACAGGAAACAGGTGGCTTTGAATACCTCGGACCAACAACCTTCATTTTGTTGATGGATGGCAGCAGTTACATTTCTCAGTCCTCAGTAGGGCGTTGAGGCAGTCGAGTTTTCAGCCTCCAGTGTTTGTATATTGTTACACCAGTGAGACGTTAATGTCTGCTTTATATGAGACTGCCTGGTCTATAAAATACTAATCATCGTGTGTTTAGAGAGCTGTCATGATGCAACATCCCTATGCCTGCCTCTAGAGCTCACCAGGGGCCATTTTCTGTTTTGGAGTGGTCTGTATTGGCAAGACTCAAATGTGCCTTTAGATAAATCTAATGACTGGATTCATAAAAATAAACACAGACTTATTTTAAACCTATAATGTGAGCTGCCCTATCCCTAGTGAGAACTTTGTCAACAAGAAAACAATCAGTGACACATGCTTACCAGTGGCACCCATGACAAGAAAAGAGGAGAACGGGGATCATCGTTTGTGGTTTTCTAACAAGTTGTGCTAGAGCAATAAGTAAGGAAAAGGTTGTTTTTAGAAACTATCCCCATTCTGCTTGTGAGATGAGGAAGCCATGGCAGCTCAGCTCTTCTACAGGTCTGCACTGCACTGAGATTTACACTACCACATATATACATATAAAGTGAAATGTCATTTGTGTCTGTGGAATTCTTCCAGAACACACAATGATTTTGTAGCTTGAGCTTGAGCCAGGTTAGTTGGTATGAATACAAAAATACTTTATCTACTCACAATTCTTAGAAAACATAGTGCACCTTTGCAAGGCAAGCCCTGGGTGGAGATCCTCTGAGACTCAGATGGGGGATTGTATGATCTAATGAACCGATATAGGAAGGGAGAGACAAATCTGTCTTGTTGAATCCCAGATTTTCTGACCAGTCAGCCAACACAACTGACAGGGTTGTCATATTTCACAGTTTGTGGGTTGGTTAGCACTCCAGATTCCCAAATATGTGTGCACCAGCACAAGTTTGTCCCCAAAGAAGTAAACAGATTTGTGCAGCAGATGAATTTATACATCGGTCTGCTTGACCATTATCTAATCCATAATCAAAGTTGTTGTGATCCAGGTCTGTGTTTGCAGAGAGCATGACACAGATGTACTCTTTGTGCGTTAGTCCATTTTGAAGAAAACAATAGTGATGATAATAGCAATAGCAGACAGCTATGTTTGTATGGGAGTACTAAGTGAATAAGTAGGGCTTGGTTGAGGTGTTAATGAGCTGATATAGCTGTACATGTGAGAAAGGGAGTGAAAGACAGTAATTACTACTCCATTTAAAATGTCTAATTAACTTTCATCAAAATGTCCATGTTGTGACCCTGCTATTCTTTTTTGTAAGAAGTTACAGCGGATGCCAAAATTGAGTTTCTAAAATTTTTTTCTCTTTTCTGGACGGTAAATCATCATGCAAAACTGATTTTTTTCTTTCATGTTTTTTGTGATACGTCTTTGTCTTGGCTTCTTGGTGAACTGAACTGGGTCAGAATGCAAAATAGCCCGAATAATGCATAGAATAATAGAGCATGCCTCTATTTTAGCAGATACAGACACTTGGTACTAGCTTGGGTCTATTTATGGTAAAATTATATTATTTTTGTCACCTTTTATATTCTATAGACATGCATTTTATTTTTGAATACTTGACTAAAGTATAAATTAGGGCATTTTGCCACAATTTACCAAGGTATTATTTATTAAAAAGATGACATCAGTGCCTTAAAGTCAAAGCTGTTGTTTCCTTTATGTGAACCTTACAACCTCTTCTTTCATTTAAAATCATAAGCAGTGCAAGAATGATGTCAAATATGTAAGCTCGTTGATACACCACTGCTTCACATACTTGTATCAAATAGTTTGTTCCTTGAATCTGCAACATCAGCCCTATCAGAAGACTGAAGGGACTTCCCATGCAGGCTTCCTCTAAATGCTCTGCTCCACATTGTTCCAGAGCCAGGGTGATATCCGACTGCACCACTGTTTCCTGACACTGGACCTGGCCATCTTTCACCAGGGAATGTCTGAATAGGCTAGGGTCACAACGAGGGGGCACCTCTTTCTGGGCTGTGCTTACGTTCGTTCGTTCGTTCGTGTGTGTGTTGAGTGAAAGCTTGCGTACGTGTTCACCAACTCCAGGAGTTTGCACAGTTTCATTTGGGACTCTTCTGATCCAGTTGAACCTTTTACCTCCCCCCATCCCCCATCCGATCCGAGAGCCCCACAGTTAACCCCTCTCCCCCGTCTTCTCCCCCTCCCCCAGGGGCTCGCTGAGAAGCAGGTGACTGATGTAGACTGTCGATATGGCCTACAGATAACATGAATAAAGGGCTCAACTCCCCCCTATCCCTCCTCACTATCCAACATACCCACCCTTCCCTCCCTCACTCAGTCTACCCCTCCCTAGCCCGTATGCAAATATAAACACTACTCCCCCCCCCTTCCTCATGCTCATTCATTGGAAGGGAAGCAGCAGCAGCAGCTTGAACCAACAGCAGCAGAAGCAGCAGCAGCGTGGGCTTTGTTGTGGACTACTGCCGGGAGAAACAAGAGGGAGACACACATAGAGAGAGCAGCTGATAGAAAGACAGAAAACAGCCATGGAGTGCAGATGAGGAGAATATAGAGTAAGTTAGGAAGAGGAAAAACAGTCAGAAAGAAGAAACACATCAACACAAGAGAAAGAGTTGCTACTAAAAGAGAACCAGGAAGCAACCAGACTGAGTGACTAGTATTGTTACGGACATTACTACAACTATCATTACCACTGCCTCGACTACTACTACTACTACTACTACTACTACTACTACTACTGCGAGAGCCACAACTAAAGCTGGGGAACTCCTGGTGAGTTTTTGTTGTTTACCAAGTTGTTTTCTTTTTGCTGTTTAAAAAAAAAAAAAGTTAAACTTCACACTTTTTATTTCCAGTATTTTGCCTCCGTTGTGTTTTAAAGGTTGTTTTAGTTATACAATACAGTTCATTGAAGTCAAGTGGAGTTATATTTCTGTAGCAATAACATGTTTCATTAGACTTCTGGGGATTCTTCTTCCCTAAAATGTTACAAATCAACATGTGTAAAAACTGCACTAATTCAGTCAATGATTTGTTCGGTTCAGGAAGAAGTAGTGGTGGTCTTAGAAATTATTGTGTTTAGATTTGATAATTCTCTCCCCAAATGGCTTTAAGGATTATTAACCAAAACAACTGCCTTCACATTTTACCTCATTGGGCTGGCAAAACATAGAAAGGGAAGTGAAAGGTAAATCTGCTGTTCACATGAAAGTTGCATGTCTTCTCACATGTGTAGCAGCCTCCTACTCGGGTGTTAATGATTAAAACTGCAGCTTGACACTGTTTTCTTTGTTCAACGTGAAGACTTTTTGAATGAATTGCATTCAGTCAAATTCATTTCGAGAGCCTAGTGGCTATTGCTTGTCAAAGAGAATCAAACTTTGTAGATTTAACAGTTTTTTGTCAGTAATTATCTTTGGTGCTCCATGTGTTTTTAATCTGTCTGTGTGTGTATGTGTGTGTGTGTGTGTGTGTGTGTGTGTGAAAAACATCAGGAATTAGTTTGCCAAATAATGAGGGAAGGATTAGTGGTCTTCAGATATTTTCATTGCTGTTTTTATTCCCTTGTTTTGATCATTATATGAACTTATTTGACTCTATTCAACGGTGAACGTCCACTTAAGTTGCATTCAAAACACTGGTGGTTCATACAGTCTTGGTGTAGAATTTAAGTTGTGTTTACACATTGTGCCTGAAGCTATTTAAGTAACTTCCTCCTCTCTTCAGTCTGCACACAGTCACACACACACACACACACCTGATTCGCAGTTCATGAGTTTTATACTGCTTCAGATTTACTCAACAGCATGTGTTTGGGTGCTCAGCATTTGAGGGTGGAGGGGGGGTGGTTGTAATTAGATGAGAGGCTCTGTGTGGAGCCCCTCCCCCCACCCCCTAGACAGCAGACACACTTCCCAGCGACCCCGTTCTCATGCGTGCATGTGCGCTCACATACACACGTTTCCTCGGGCTGTAGCTCAGACGGGTCAGTTGGAATTATATAGTCATGATCAGAACCATATGTCTGGTTGGTTACATGCTAGGGATGCCATGGTAAACATTTTGAAGCTTTTTGGATGGTCCAATCAATTCACTTTTTTGGAGTTTATCTAAATGGGGCATATTTTAAGTGTTTCCCTAGATGATTGTTAGGTTTTTTAGCCAGTATACAACAATTCACATTTTACTCACATCTTCCAAACACAGCTGTTGAGTTTTAGAAATGTATGCATCTTTACTACCACACCAGGCAGACATTGTTTACTATTACATTCTAAAACAGTACAGAAATGATAATGTAATGTTAATGCTAATGCAGTGTTTACAAAAAAATACATATCTATTTAAATCTATAACTGTAAAGCATGTAGAGCTTATCCCATGTATTGCCTTTCTGATAAGTAAAATGAACATTAATTTGCAAAACTTGTCAACAACTATTTGTTTATGAAATGTTTGAAAAAATTCAAGTTGAATTGAAGTCAAGTGACGAAAGTCTCTATGGATACAAAACTGTTGGCTGTATTTTGTGGAGACATTTTATAGAATGCTGCATGTATGAAGACATTTATAATATATATATTTCATCAAATAGTGCAGCCATAAAGCACACACAGTCCTAAGTTTGAGTATTACTCTTAGTATACATTTGATATGTTTTTATATCATGTATGTGAGTTTTTCAGCTACAAGTATGGTTTTATTGTCTCGTGCTTTTACATTTGTTTTGTCTAAATGTATTTATGCTGCTTTTTATATATTTATTGATGTACAGCACTTTGGTCAACTCTGTTGTTTATAATGTGCTAGATAAATAAAGTTGGATTGGATATTGCTTTGATGAAGAGCTTGAACAAGTGGATACAGAATATTCATGATGCTGTCAGACGGACGTAAAACATTTGAAAGTTGTAGTAAAAAATGCAAAGATGATTAGTTTGTTTTACTTTTTATAAAATGTTAAGCTCAAAACCATCATAATGTGACATTAATCACCAGCATGTTGCTTCAGTGGCTGTCACATTACGTGAATGGATTAGACTTTCTTTTTTTTCAACAAGGAAAGATCAGAGTGGGCCCCCAACTCAGATTTCCCTTGGAGAGTTAAAACCCGCTGAGACTGATTGGTACCCTGCAAATCATTTTTGATCTGCCTTTGTAGGGCTTAATCCTGCTAGCTCAGTGAATACGCGTGCCACTGTGCGTGCAGGTTGGTATTTATGTTCCTTTGCTCTCTGAGCACGCTTTTTATGACCGCTCCTGGTGAGCGAGTGAGACCTCACCCTCTGAAACAAAACACTGCTCTATAGACGGCCACTTTCACTCATTTCCCAATTAAGCAGCTTTCAGGGTTCCCCGGCGGGCCCTTAGAGAATACTGTAAACCTTCCATAGTGTCTCCATATTGCCTCAGTCAAGAAGCTCTAATGAAAGCCCGGGCCCCATGAGAGGCTCCTCATGCACTCTCAGGACGCTGCTCTCACCAAACAGTTCACTTGTATTGAAAGAGGAGAGGCTTATCTTGCTCTTTTCCTCAATTTCTTTCTTTCACACAACCGCTTTGATAATTATGTGATCATATCACAGAGTCATGCAGGGCTAATGAGGACAGACGGGGGTGGTGTAGCTACTGCTTTTTTTCCTTTCTCACAATACCTATTTCCTTTTTTCTCACTTTATTGCCACTGTCCTTCTATTTTAACACCTACGCTGATGGACATTTTGCAATTATATAACATTTTTGTGGAGAGACTTTTAAGCCTCCAAAAAGAGAGGTTGCTAGGTTGTTTTCTGAGGTATTCATGTATTTGTATTGTATAATGTGCCATTGTCGGACAAGGGATGGCACACACCATAGCTAAACTTGAACCTCGTCCTAGAATGCTGGATTTTATAACCAATGTCTTACTGATATACCTGCTAGGCTGATATTGTCAGCCAATTGTAGCTTTTCACAGATACAGTGACTAAAGTACTCATCCACCAGTGGAAGTTCTCAAAATGTGACAACCTACATGCAGAAAATGGTTGCCTGTGTCAATATATTGACACTCCAGTATAATGGTGTCTATGTAAGTGAGCAAACGAGTATAACAAAGTGGCATTACAGTCCAAAAGGCAGGTTTTGAAATGGCGTATCCGAAGGATTCTTATCTGATACACATAATGGTTGGATCAGATTTTAAACTCCCAATTGACCAGCCCCAAGAATCCAATATCTTCTGCTGTATGTGGGAAAAGGGTTAACATCTTATCACCATAATCACTATTTTTGTTGTGTTGCTGGAAGCAGAGGTTTTAAGGAAAAGTCTAGCAGGCAGATCTCTGGGGGTTTGTGACTTTTGACTCTGATTTCAGCGTAAGGAGGGGCCAAATACAAAGGACCTGCCAATCTCAGAGGACTCAGGAAAATCAAAACAAATCTCCTCTGCAGAACCACACAGTTATTCATTCCCCCTTTGTCTTTCTTCAGACATTTCTTTTTCCTTTTTTAAAAATCTGTCTAAACACTGAACACAGTCTTAAGGGTGTAAATGTGACATTGCTAATAATTTAGCAAAGATTATTCTCAACACATGCCTTTTGTTTGAAGAAGAAGAAGAAGAAGAATAGGGAGGGATGAAACCCTCTTTAATGGTCACACATGCAGAGCACACAGCACACACAGTGAAATTTGGCCTCTGCTTTTAACCCATCCTAGTACAAGGAGTCTAGTACTAGGAGCAGTGGGCAGCTATTGTACAGCGCCCGGGGAGCAATGGGAAGCCCATGTTATTGTTTTTGAGCTGCAGATTTAAAATATATTCAATTAGAAAAAGTCCAAATGAACCTGTATTAATCTTTTATGATGATCTTTAGCATCTTTCATGCATATTACAAAAAGAATAACAACATATTTTCTCTCTATCTCCATAATCCCATGTTTTACAGTTACGCTCCCTGGGGCACTGCTTGTTCCGGGTTCTTCCACCTCATCCTCCCTCACTACACGTCGCTCCTCTTCCAACTGTTCCTCTTCCTATATGCAGACCTCATACCGACTTCCAAACCCCTTGCCCCCCCTCCCTGTGCGCAAGGGGGTCCGTGGTCGTCGTCCCAAATCCCTGACCATTGCTTTGTTGAAGGCAGCGGCTGAGGCTGCAGCGGCAGCAGCAGTAAATGGAGCATCAGCGAGTCCTGTCAGGACGAGCTCTGAGGCTCCTCTGGCCCCCAGACCACACAAGAAGCGAGGGCCCAAGCCTCGGAACAAGGTGAGATGTCACCGCGCTGTAATCTGTTATGCTGCAGTCCAGTGACCCTGTCATCTTATGTTTATAAGTATTATGGCAGATTTGATTTAGAGGAAAAAGGGTCAGAGGTGCATTGTTTAACAGAGGTAAGATTTAGAGGATGTTTATTCATGATAAATTAGGAGCGTTGTGCTAGAAGCTGCAAAATGTTTGTGTGTACTAGTCAAAGTTTTAAAATACACCTTTAATAAATCATTACTAAACTTTGTGGGTTACAGAAAGTTAATGAAAAAGAGTTTGTTTGTGTTTTGGTTCAGAAGAAGCCAGGGGTGTTGAAATCTCTGGGGACACCGGCAGTTACAGCCCCCCCTCCAGAGACCAGACTAACCCCCGGACACGCCTCAGCAGACAACAACCATAGCAACAGCTCAAATGTAGTTTGCACAGGTAAGATAACAGACTGAGCCTCATGTGTACTCATGTATGTTCACTATCAACCACTCTTTCTAGCTGGATTTAAAAGTCAACAGTCAGAATTCAACAATGTTTGGATTGGTACAATTTTCTTTGTTTATTCCAGTGTGTGTCTATGTGAACAAGCACGGGAACTACGGCCCGCATCTTGACAGAAAGCTAGTGCAGCAGCTGCCCGACCACTTTGGGCCGGCTCCAGTCAACGCAGTGCTGCAGCAGGCTGTTCAGGCCTGTGTGGACTGCACATACCAGCCCTCTGTGATGCTGTCCTTCCTGCAGAGCCAGTCCCACACAGGAGGAGAGGTCATCAGAGGTAAATACAGTAAACACCACAGGATAACCCCTCTGAGAGAAGTTGTAGGTTAACAATGTGACACAGATATATTGGCTATTCTGTCTGACTGAAAGTGTAAAACTCTTATGTGGTCAATATGAAATTAGATGAAAATATAAAATCTCATGTTTGAGAAGCAAATTATCAATTGTTGGGCTTTTTGCTTAAACAAAATATGATTTCCACTTTTAGCAATTTATTTGTAATGTTTTAGTAATTCACTATTTCAACATGTTTCCATTGGAAGTAAAAGCACATACATGCACACTGTTAAATTCATATTTGGGACATTTGACTGAGCTTTAACTTAGCATTAACATGTGGGAAACAGCTTGAGCCTGGCTCTCTGCAAAGGTAATAAAATCTGCCTAGCAGCACCTCTAAAGATCATAAATTCCACATGTTATATATTGTCTATTTAATTTATACAAAGTGTAGAAGTGATTGTTTCACCTACAGTAACACAGCAGGCTATTTGTTGGACTATTTCTTAGTTGTAAGCAGTAACTTCCTGTACTCTCTATTGGTTGAACGCCAACTGGTCCCGGCCAAGAAAAAGTCCTAATAGTACACACACTTCAGTTTTTGTACAAATTAAACAAATCAAAAATACCTAAAATAACCTGCCAGCTTTGGAGGTGCTGGTAGACGGATTTTGTTATCTTGCAAAGAAGGAAGTGTTGAAATATTCCTTAGAAAAAATCACTTCTTGAAAATCAGTGCTGGAAAAATTCTAATATATTCCTAACACCTAATGACATAAAGCATGGATTTGCAATCAGACAGGTGCAATTGGTTTAAGCACTCACACATGGGTCATGCATGTTGCATGTGTGTGTCAGTTTGTATGTGTGCGGGGAAAGAGTGGCGGAATAAAAGACAGGGCCTGTGGCAGCAGCTGATGTGAGCCCTGTGTCTGTAATCAGAAATGACATGTGCGGCTAACCTGGTTTTGGATGCTGGGATTGGGTCTCCCTTGGGGGGCTGGATTCGGAGAGGTAGGGTGAAGAGGAGGCGGGGCAGGGGGATTAATTTGTGGAAGCTTGGCTTGGGTGGGTGTTGGTGGAAGGGGGGGTGTTTGGTGCAGTGTTGGATGGGCTAAAAAAGGTGGGTTTTTGCTTCTAAAGGGAGGGTGGTTACCCTAAACCATCTGCTGTTTTTCTTAAGATGTGAATGCATACAGTGTGTATGTGCATGTGTGTGTCTTTGTGTGATGTTAACAGCTCTTTGTGTTGTACCCCTCAGTGCGGTCAGAGCATGGTATCCGCTATGTGAAGCTGCCCTCGGCCTCCAGTACGTCGTCTGTGCTGCGGTTCTTGGAGAACATGTGCCAACATCTGGAGAGTGACAGTTTGTTCAGCTCCCAGCCGTTCAGCTCCTTCGGCAACAACACACGCTTCTACAACAGGACCAAGTCAGGTGGGCAGAAGTGTGGACGGAGTAACTGTAAACAGGGGCTGGTGCAGTAACAGAGTGAACGTTTGAGTCAGCTGTAGGCTCACTTACTTACTGTGAGCCATAATATCTTGAAACAAATGATATATATATATATGATATTTTCTAGAACAAAATTATTTTTAGTTACTGATTATACAATTATGATTTATTTTCAACCTTTGAATTTTTTACGGCAGAACTGGTCCCACCTAATTTACACTAGTTCTTTTTATAATGTACATTGCAAAGTGATGTTCTTTCAACAGTCTATCTGAAAAGTGGAAAGGTTAAACATCATTTTTATAATCACTAAATAAAGCTCCCGTTAATTGTCTTTTGTCAATGACAGAATTTGGTAGATAATAAGACCATGTTCCCAGGGGGTGAATGGTTGATTTTTGTTAAGATCTAGATCCATTTATGAATTTTGAAATTATATAATTTGTAGCAATTCCCTTTGTTTTAAGGGAGGATTTTTCAATATGAAAAATTAATGAACTGGTGTGTTTTGACCTTAAGGTTTAGAGCACTGTGAGATCTTATCAGAGGCATGTTCTCTAAGCTCTTCCTACATAAGTTGGTCACTTTATGGCTGCGTTGTTCATGGTACAGTTTTTTGCAGCATCTTTTTGTTTGTACACAACATTAACAGTTTCTCTCTTACCTTTTCTTGCACCAGAACCACTATCCCACACTGAAAATGGCCTGTCTAAAGAAGACTCAACAAAGGATGCTGCTCCCAGCACCCACCCCTCTCACACAACATCGGACTACAGAGTAACAAAGAAGGAGCGGCCATATTACCCCGGACACTCGCACACGCCGCCACCCCTCAGACGCGTCAGTTCAAACCCCACTGAGCTTGGCCAGATGTGTCCACCCAGACGAGTTGAGGGTAGGGTTACTAAATGTAATAATGACATTTTAATACAATTATTTATTTATATTATGATCACATTTCTTTAAATTATGCCCTTAAAAATTATTTACATTCAAGAAGAGGACGGTGGTTGCTCGGTTGTTGAGGTTTAGGCACAGAAATAATTTCCTATAAACCTTTTTAATTGAACCCATTTGAATTACAATCATAAGGAGAAGGTATAATTGATTTGGTTTTTTTGCACACATTTTCCAGCCGCTAGCTCGACGACAGGCCCAGACCACGTGAAGCAGGACAAGGAGGGTTCAGGGAGCGACACCTCTTCCTGGTCAGTTGACGATGTCATGCGGTTTGTCCAAGAGGCTGACCCCCAAACTCTCGGCCCGCATGTCGAACTGTTCAGAAAACATGTGAGTATGTCATGTATATGAGCAGTCTTCTTTGTCAAATTGGTGTTTCACCATTTAACTTAAAGGTCACCTATTATGCAAAATCCACTTTTTCATGTGTCTCCTATGTGTAAAGACATTTGGAAAGTTTCAAGAAAAAAGAGATTCTCTCTCTTTTTGTCCTGATCCATCTTTATAAAAACCTGTCTGAAAATGCACTGATCAGATGTTGGCCACATTGTGATGTCACTATGTTTTTTTGGGTATTGCAACCATGAGCCAATAACCAACCAAGGTAACACCCGCCCATTTTATCAGCTGAATCTCGTCCTAGAGCACCATTGTTTTGTTTTAAACCAAACCAAGCTGCCAGCAGCAGCTCATTTACATTTCAAGCTACAGACACAGAATCAGGGCTGAAACAGAGGGGTTTATGGGATGCTACAATGCACGATCTGTTTGGTATTTCGAGCCAAACACTTCAGAGACATATTTTGTTTATATTTGAGACTTATAATATACTGTTGAAAAAGAGTATGATAGGGGACCTTTAAAATTATTCTGAAAGTATGTGTTGGTAACGTGTCCCCCTGAATGATCCCCTCTCTGCAGGAGATCGACGGCAGAGCTCTGATGCTGCTGCGCAGTGATGTCATTATGAAGTACATGGGACTGAAGCTGGGCCCGGCGCTCAAACTCTGTCATCACATTGAGAAGCTGAAACAGAGCAAACAATAGAGGATGAAGGAAAGCTTTTTTCCCACTGGCAACCAAACCCACACAAAACACTTATTGCTCTACACAGGGATGTCGTGTAAACCCGCCTGACCCAGGGTCGTAGCTACCATTGAGGACATTGAGGTAAAGTCCACTGGTTTTTTTCTGTATTTGGAGAATGAAGGGAGTTTGAAAATACAAACTTACAAATGATGGTCATTTATTTAACTGATTTGATAATTTTTTCACTTTTAAAAAATGTGACTACTTTTGGCCAAATACTTCTGTAATCTTAAATCCTGGATAACAGAGTGTGCACCACTTACATTCTATCTTATTTTGGAGGAAGACCTTGAAGATCAGTTCCTGAAGAGTTATTTCTCTTTGTTTGTGTGTTTCGTGTGCTGGAAGACACTGAAGCTGAACATTACAACATGAGGACTGATGAGGCTACATGATTGTTTTATTCTTTAACAGTCTAGCAATTAATTAAACACGCAGGCACAAGATATAGGCCTACAAAGACTGAAATACTGTACGTGTTGACATTTAAATAAAGTCAAGGCCTCTAACTGTTTAGTTGCAAAGTGCTCCTCAGAGAGTGAGAGGAAACTGTTTTGTATAAAGTCAAGCCAAAATGTTTTTGATATAATTTTCTACTGTAACAAAGAGTAAAAGCGTAAATGTAATCACATTTTTTCCTGCTTGAAATAGTTTTTGTGCACACCATCAAATAACTACCTACAGGATGATCCTGTGTGGGGGTAATAATTCATATGTTTCAAAGTATGTATCTGTTTTCCATGGCAGAGATACTAATTTTCTGAACATTTCAGAACCATTTTAAAACCAAATCATGTGTGTTGTAGCTGCATTTCACACTGTTGCTCTCCTGTAGTGGTGACAAGTGGAAACTTTACTTGAAACTTGCTTTAATTTCAAACTCAGGTTTTAGAAGGGGTTGTTTCATAGAATATGTTTTACATAGTTAACATTTTGCGTTTATTACGACATAGACGGACTGCACAATAACCAACTATGTATATTTTTATGCCTTGTCATCTATTACCGCCCTACAGCCTTTCATGTGTACATGTAAACGTGTTTTTACTGTGATTTTGAGAAAAAATGTTTGACAAATATGTTTGAAATGCAATCATACAAATAAACATTTGTTTATGTCATCTAAATGTTTGCTGTTTAAATAGCCTCATCAAGAGTTTTTCTCATGCTATAGTACCTTTGACCCTTTAAAACAAAGGAATGTCCATCATCTGTTGAGTATGTCTGAGTAATAACAAAACCAACCAAAGAGGTTTTTATTTCTTGTCAAGTTCAGAAAAGGACAGATTATACAATAATTCATAAGAAAAAAGCAAGCCCACGTTCATACGGGTTACAAATAATTGTATGTAGCAAGCTTTTTCTATTTGCTTCTTTCATCAGTGAAGCACACAGTTCCAACAAGAAGAAAACATATCGACAAAAGGGGATCACATTTATGCTAAAGAAAAAACATTCCACACCACTGGAAGAAGTTCATGTCTTTTTAGTTTTGATTTGTGTGTGAGTGTCTTTCTGTGTCTCTGAAGGTTTCTCATTTCTCTAATTTCCCCTCCTCGACTCCTCGAATCCTCGGTCCTCCGGTAGTGACCCGGAAATGGATTTCAGCGCGCCATGTTGAAAGGCATCTCATTTCTCTAAATGCACATCGAGGACCGAGCATCGAGGAGGCTCTCTGGAGGAGCTATAACCGAGGATACACTGGTTCCTCCGCGGGTCCTCCGCGGATGTATTTCCGGCGTGATGTTTACAGTAAGAACAGCTGTGAGGTCCGTGGCGAAAGCAGAGCAGTGTGTATAATATATATCACTCAGTATAACAGGCCTACATTACTCTCTTTATTTGTATGCTTTAGTTTAGTTGATATCTACAAACAAAGAGTCGATATTTTTCTAAGACCATGAGTGCTCTGTGTAGGTGTGTGTTGTACAGTGTGTAGGTGTGTGTGGTACAGTGTGTAGGTGCGTGTTGTACAGTGCGTAGATGCGGCGGACAGACAGGTCTCAGTTGGTTTGGTGTCTGCTTACTTTTAATACTTGTAAATACAACTTTTGGCCCGTAATTTCAATTCCCCATTTCAGCGACCAGAGAGGAGGGGGGGATATATCCAGTCTCTGATTGTGTTACGTTATCATGAGAGTGCTCTCATACTTGTTTGATTCTGAAATTGTACATAAATGTGTGTGTATATGTCCGCATCCAGACCGGGTTTCTTGAGGATGGGAGTGACAGCAGCAGTTTTGAAGGCAGAGGGAACGGTTCCTTGGGACAGGGAGGAGTTGAAAAGGTTGACAAGGTAGGGGCAGAGGACGGGGAGGCAGGACTTCAGTAGAGGGGTGGGTAGAGGGTCAAGCGAGCAGGTTGTGGGTTTGGAGGAGCTGATCAGTTTGAGTAATTATGGGGGGGTAACCAGAGTGAACTGGGAGAGGCGGCCGTGGGGAGGAGGGCTCGGGAGGTCCAGGGAGATGGAGGGAGAAATTGTGGCAGTGGATGTTGGGGGAGATGTTTGTGTGTCAGATGCAGTGGATAGGGAGAGATTAATGGCAGTGATTTTGTCAGAGAAAAACTGGAGGAATGAAATGCATAAAGTGGAAGTGGAGGAAGGGAGGGTGTCAGCACGGGGTTTGAGGAGCTTGTTGACAGTGGAGAAGAGGGTCCTGGGGTTACGGGAGGGGTCGGTAAAGATGGTGGAGAGGTAAGCTGATTTTGCGGCAGTGAGGGCGTCTCTGTAGGTAGTGAGATGGAGTTTGTAGGATTCATGGTGAACTGTGAGGGATGATTTCATGGTTAGGCGTTCAAGCTGGCGGCCAGTTTGCTTCAACTTACGGAGTGCAGGGGTGAACCAGGGTGAGGAGGTTTTAAAAGTGAAATTTTTCCTTTTGAGGGGGGCCAGGCTGTTGAGGGAGGCGAGTAGGGTGGAATTAAGGTGGTTGAGTTGTTCATCGGGTGAGCTGAGGTTCAAGTCCAGGGGGAGAGTAGAGGATAGCAGGTCGGAGAGGTGCTGGGGATCGACAGAGCGTAAATTACGGAAGGTGATGTTCCTGGATGGGGGGGGGGTGGCGGACGGGGGAGGCGATGGTGAACTGTATGAGTTTGTGGTCAGAGAGGGGAAAGGGGCAGGGGTGGAGGTCGAGTACTGGGAGGTTGGTGGAGCAGACAAGGTCAAGGATGTGTCCTTTATCATGGGTGGGGAAGGTGACATATTGGGTAAATGAGAAATTGTCCAGAAGGGAGGAGAATTCAGAAGCACGTTTGCAGGTGGGGGAGTCCATGTGGATGTTGAGGTCGCCGAGGAGTAACAGACGTGGGGAGAGGGATGAAGCAATGGTGAGGAGTTCAGTGAGATCAGAGAGGAAGGAGGGGTCATATCTTTTGTTGATCTACTGTGTTTTGCCTATACTGTAGGCTATTGCTCTGCTGGATCGATTGATATTGTGACCTCGGTGATGAGTGTCTGTGTTTTTCTCATACCCCCCCCCCTCTCTCTATCGGAACCATGGATAGCCTACAGCTATTTGTTTACGTGTTTGAAAAAGCACCAGAAGCTTATATGTACACATCTAAGTTGTTCGTGCCCCACCACTTTTGTACATATAAAAACGCCACTGTGACTGAATTAAAAGTAAATATATAAGTCGTCATGAACACAGTTCTGTCCATCAGACAGAGTGCTGCTGTGCCTCCTGTCATCATTAATGGACGTCTCTTTAAAATGACCGCTCAGAGGAGAGGATTTCTCATTTCTCTAAACGCCTGCTGCTTCCCCTCCTCTCTCCTCGGTTCCCCTCCTCGACTCCTCCGCTCGCATCTCCTGTGGGCGGGACTAAGACACGAGGATAGGAGTCGAGTAGGGGAGTCGAGGAGGGGGTTTAGAGAAATTAGAAAACTTCTCTGTTTCTGGAGGGTGTGGGGGTTAGGGGGTCAAAGGATCATGGATTCATGGATGTCTTACTTAAGGAAAGTGACAGTTCAATAGAATTCCTTGTTGAAAAAGTCAACCAGTTCAGAAAACTCACCAGCAGCACTCAGAATAAACCGGCTAATTATGACTCATCTTGCAGATACTTTAGGAATAGTTTATGTTGTTGTCTGATTGTGTAGATAGCTACAATCTCAGCACAGAGCTCCACGTTTAAAGCTAAATTACTCTGCCAAATGCTAACATTTAGGCTGTTTAAATTTGATTTACAATTTTAAAATAAATGGTATGTGTAGCTTTAAGAAAATCAGACCCTTACTGTGACACTCTGGGCCATAATGTATCTATATATAATATAAACAGCCGGTAATGGTTCAACACAGAGATGGAGTAGTTGCCAGTTCCTGGTAGGCGGTGACCTGGTGGCAGAGATGGAGTACTCGAGTCCTGGACTCAGACTCGAGTCGGACTCGAGTGCCGATTTTCGGGACTCGTGACTCGACTCGGACTCGCACACTGATTGACGCGACTCGGACTTGGACTCGTGAATTCTCGCGCACGGTGACTTGTGACTCGACTCGGACTCGCGCACTGATTGATGCAACTCGGACTTGGACTCGTGAATTCTCGCCCACGACGACTCGGACTCGACTCGAGCAAGTTTTCTCTGAGTCTGATGTCCTCTATCCTGGCGTGTGCACCTGCGTGGCGAGTTCGCATACTGGGTCCCGCTATTCCAGTCTAGAGATGTCTAGAGACACACCCCGCATTGTGCTGTATGCTTTCACACATTCTGCTTCCACATTGGGAAAGAGCAGCGGAAAAAAGGGGGACAAAAGATTGAAGAGAAGGCTCCATAACACATTACTCTAAGGATCGAGTTCAGACATATAGGCTGTCTTTCGGACTATCATCCGAGTAATGTGATCTAATCAATAAATAAAGATTCGGCCGATAACACGAAAGCACATGGCTACTTAACATGCAGAATGTCTTCATTTTGCATGCTAAGTAGCCATGTGCTTTCTGGGGCTTAATCTTTATTGATAGAATTTAAACATTCACTATAATAATTGTAGGGTCCCCGGCTGAATGATGGTCAGACTCTCCAACTGATGGTATCTGTTTATTGCACACCCTTGCTTTTATACAATCATTACCAACGTTACGTAAGAGCTTGTGCCCTTATCAGCCAGGTGCTAAAAACCCAATGTAACTATTTAGTATATGTTAATTTATTCGTCATCTATCCGTCATTATAGAGAGGTGAAGTCCCTCCCCTTCCGGTGGACCTCCATGGGACCTTATTTCGGAAAAATTATGTATTGAAGTCAATGGCGAGAGAAAGATTATCTTTCGATCCCGTTTGAATTGTGCCACGAATTACACAGATGTTTGTCAATTTAAAAGATAATTTTGCAAGTCAAAAAAATTAAAATGTGTCGTAAAATTGTGAAGTAACACATTTGTTGGATTGAAACGCTCAATGAACTACATCTCTGGTCTCGCACACGTCACCAACACCAAGATGGCCGTCACGTTAGCACATTTCACTTCTTTCTTTCAAAATAAGGCGAAAAGTATTAAAAGAGGTGAAAATCACTACAAGTCTGGGCATGTTGAGTGCTGGACATACGAAAAAGGGGAGTTAGTTGGTTCCGTAAGAGCCAGCATGCGAGACCGGCTTTACAAGGTTTCGGTGAGTAACACGAGTGTAATGTGTAACGTTAATGACATCACTTACGCAACTCTGGGATTTGTAGTCTTTCTAGTTGCGTATTTTTCATAGTCTTTTATTTCAACAGTTTTACGACAAACTGTGACTTTTTTGACATGGAAATGATTTTTTAAGATTGACAAACATCATATGTGTAATTCATAGAAGGCCGGGACTTCGCCTCTCTATACATGTGTGTTTACGAGAAGAAGTCCAGCCGGTGGAGGTTGAACCTGTAGGAAGTTGTAGGAAGTTGTACTTCCAAATATGGTCAGAAGAGAGCTCGCCCAACACGTGAGACGCTGACGCAAGGATATTTAATTAGACATGGAGGTTTACAGAGAACAGACAACAGACAATATGGCGCACCGAGTACAGGTAATTAACGTCTTGTGGATTTAGATATAATTTAGGTTCTCGGTTGTTTGTCGATTTGGCTGTTTAGCGCAGTATAATTGTGTTTATTTTGCTAATTTGTATTTAAAATATTC